ACAACTGTTGCTATGGTTGAGTCCACGACTGTTGCCATGGTGTCATCCATCTCCTGGAGGGTCTTCGTTTTCACTGACCCTCTACTAAGCACTACGTCCTTTTGAAGGGCCTGTCCCAAACTCACTGCCATCAAGTCAGTTCCGACTCACAGCAAGCCTCTATGACAGGGCATAACTGCCCCTGTGGGTTGCCAAGCCTGTAACTCTTTAAGGGATTGGAAAGATTCATTTTCTCCCATGTCTGGTGGTTTCACGTGGCTGACCTTGCAGTCTGCAGTCCAGAGCATAACCCATTATGCCACTAGGACTCTTTCTTTTAAGGAGAGTTACTCCCTTCTACTGGGCTCAAAATGAACCATGTGAGGATCACACAGGACCAGGCGGTGTTCGTTCTGTGGTACACAGGGGCGCGATGAGTGGGAACTGATGGGAAGGTATGTAAACCACCACCACCACTGAGGAATATTCCTCTCTAAGGCTAAATCAGTGTGAACAAACCTCTCAGGTCAGGCATTTATAAGCCAAAATGCAAGTAAACACCTCAATAAATCAGAAAAGATTACAAACAACTACAGACTGAAAATTTCTAAATGATGTGCTTTGGTTCATGATAGACCATAGAGAAAAATGACTTGAGTAGGAAATTCCTTTATTTTCTCCAAAAGAACAACTTTGAGAGATGAAAGAACTTTTGTTGTTCTTGTTGTTGCTGTTTGCTTTGTTTTGTTTTGTTGTTTAACTTTTCCCATTTGGAAGAGGCTTGTGGTAATCAGTGACAGTGTACTTCCTGGCTCTGCGCTGCATCCCAGCCAACAGAGGAGAGAGAGGAAATGACAGTCACTGCCCAGTGCCCGGGTTTGGATCTGAAGCGCTGAACCATCTCATCATATCTAGATTTGTCTTTTAAATTAACATCCCATTATCATGTTTTCTGGCAGGAAACTGTACAGATTGCAAATGGAGCTGGACTTAGAACTCCACAAGTCATTAGAACAGTGACAGGTTAGACATTAAATACTACACTCTGGCCTGCGGAGTCCCAATATAACCTGCATTTTCCTGAGCTTATGAGGCTGAGAAAGGCAGAGAGGGAATTGGTTTGGGAGGCCAAGTTTAGATGAAAACTGGAGGACAGTGGCACTGGGAACAATGGCAGTCGTCGGCCACCCTGCATGGTTCTATGTTAGGAATAACCAATTACGTGTTATTTTAACCCCTGATGTGTTGCACTCAAGAGGGAGTGGGCTAAGCATTTAAAGGTGACAGTGCTGGGGAATTTATTGACATTCCTGGATTCACCTACCTCTTGGGGAACATAAACTGGAAACATTAGAAACCACTCGCACGAGAGGAGAGGAGTCTATCAGCCATTACCTACTTCCAGTGACTCCTTCATTGCTTTTGTGGAGCCTCCACTTTGCCCCCCTCTGGCTGCTCTCTGAGGTGCATGATTGAGCTGACTGATAGCTAATCCATCACAGCATCCCCCAAATTCTGAACGTGACAGGCACCTCAAACATCTATATGGCAGGAACCTCCCAGTCCAACCTGGATGGAGTAGTTCTGCTTGCTCTTTCAAGCCAATTGAGTCAAATGAATGTGAAAGCACTGCATATCTCCCAGGGCTCAAGACCATAAAGAGAGACTTCGCCCGGGCCCCATGGCACAAATGCAGGGCATTTTGAGGACAGCCACCAATTAGAAACTCTCCCTCGGAGAATACCCATTTAGTAGTCCTGCTATGTCTTCCAGACAGATTTCAAAATCTTTTAACGAAACTTAGCAACAGTCTTCAGGATCACCACGTTCTCCAACAATTTCTTCTGGTTAAATGATGAGCAAACTTCCTAATATGCCTTATTCTTCTCCAGAGATTTAGTGAGATTGATCTGCCAGTAGACTTGAAGATCTCAATGCATGCCATACCTAATTTTATACCCCACGCACCGAGAATAATAATGCCACCTGAAAATATACTGCAGCAGGGGCAATTTTAAGATTTTTCTAATAGCCATATTCAGAAACGTTAAAAGTAATAGATTAAATGAATTCTAATACCATATTTTATGTAGCTCATGCAGCCAAACATACCGTCCTTTGAACTTGTAGTAGATATGCGCAATATCCCTGTGATGTTAACACTTGATTTTTCTACTGTCTTTGAAACTCAATGTGTATTTCACACATACAGTGAATCCTAATTAAGACCAGCTGAATTAGCCATGTGGTTAATGGCTACTGAATTGGACAGCACAGATAGAGAAAACCATTTTCCTTCCTTCTTTTCAGATTTGGACTAATCCTACTCTCCCTTGGGAGGTCTTCCTTCATGTCTGGTCTGTCTGGGTGTCCACCCACATGCTCCCCCTGTCCCTTACCCAGGCCCTTGACTATAACAATTATCACACTGCATTACATGTTTGTGCATCTTCATCAGCCAGTAGATGATTTTTCACCCAAAATGCATGATATCTGTCCATAAACAGTCATATGTTCTCATGTATTTTCAAGAGAAAAGGCATGCCATTGTCCAGGTAGGAATCAATTGAACAGCACATCTGATAAAGTTCTATTAGTCATCTGCCACCTGTAGGCCACTGTTTTAATAAAGCAGTGAACAATCGCTATGTTCTACTTGAGCATATCTGTGCTCCAAAACCCAATTCTTGAAGCCCACATTCTCATATGTCTATTAACCAATATTCGATAGAAGCCAAGTTAACATGTGCACGACTGTAGGCCTGGTTTCAAAGTGAATTATGGTCCTGGTCACCGAATTCACAGCTCAACAGTTGTCATGCAAAGGGAAGTCTTCCCAGTTATGGCTAGTGACCTCTATACCTCCACGACTCTGGTATTGACTCTGGAATGGAGATCAACCACTCTACTCAAGATACTTAAACAGAATCAAACTGGTGAAGAGTCTCCCGTCTCCCTTTCTTTATCTTCATTAAGTCTCTGACAGTCCTTGGGCAGCATGAACCAAACAGATACATTTTTAATGAAAATAACAACCTGGCTTTTGCTGAAGCTACCCTGCACTTGGTCACTAGGAACAAATCCATGCTGGGGCGACTCATCACTTTCCTGAATGGCACATTGTTGGGGAAATCACTAGGTGTTTTATAAAATGGTAATTTGCAAACACTGTCATCACCGTTTTCCGACATGCTTGCTCAACTCGATTCTCTTTTCTAAAGATGAACGGCAATGTGCCACCTTAAAATACTCTGTAAATGATACAGCGCTCTATAAATGTGAGTTGTTATAATTATTGAATAGGTTATTCATTAAATACAGCAATTGTAGAAAAATTGAATTTTTCATTTTCATTAGTCTTCCTAAGTGTTAACTAATGATACCCTGGCAAAGCTTAATATCACAGCTCATTTGAAAGTTGAGAAAAATGAGGTGAAGTGTTATTTATCCAAGAGTTTTGATCCCGTCTTAGGCAGATTCAGAGTTAACAGCCAGCTACCACTCTAGACTTTTAGTCTACGGATTCAATTCCTACTTGTGTTTTTCTCCTGGAGTGCCCCTGGTGAACACATCTCTCATTCATCCCCGCCCCCTGCAGCTGGTAACTACTGGCCTATGGCTGATTTTGACACTATTAGTCAGTTCTTTTGCATACGTGTGTCAAGCATGTGTTTGTTGATACTAGTGGGTGTTTGTTGACTGTTCCATATAAATCTAACTTTTACAGGTGAATATATAGATGTATTTATAGAATATATATAGAAATACATATATTTTAAAAATGGAATTTCTGGTTCACATACAGGCAAAATATATTAAAAATATATAAACATATCTATTATATGTATTTGAAAACACATTAAAATATGTAGAAAACGAATCTTCACTGAATTAAGTTGTAGCAGCTAGCCCAGCCAGGGAGAAGATGCAGAGGAACAAAAGTGGTCCCATTTCTGATTGATTAGCCACTGCCCCCTGGAGCAGCAGGTTGGGAATGACCCTAAGGCTGCATGGGTCCTCAGTGGGCAGCTGTTCCACAACTGAAAAGGAGTACCTGCCAGGGGCGTGTCCTGGCTGCTCACAAGTGGAGAGCTTCATCTTGGGCATCTCAGGTCTAGATGGAGGAGCAGTCACAAGCACCCGGATGGTGCACATGGTACATACTCTCAGCTGTTAACTAAAAGATTAGGGGTTCAATTCCACCCAGAGGAGCCTTCTGCAAGCAAGATCTGCTTATCTACTTCCAAAACTCAAGACACTATGACTCACAATTCTACTCTGACACACACAGGGAGGCCATGAGTTAGCTTCCACCAAAGGCCACTGGTTACTGATTAGGGAGCGGGGGTAAAGTCTACCCATTAGTGACCAGTGGTGGCAGAGCACAGATCAGGGTCATGAAGTTGGATCTTTAAACAGAAGAAAGTCAGTCTTGCCTACATGTTACATTAAGTGGTGGTGACATACCTAACACATCCCTAAACAACATGTCATTCTCAAGAAATGTGTGGCCTTGCCAACCAACCAGTTAGGTGTTGACCCAGCACAAGAAAGAAAGGACGTCCTTCTGAGAAAAGCCTCCTTGGCTGCTTCCCTTCCGTTGCTCCTGAGCCCCGTCTCTTCACGGACAAGCCAATTCTCATGAGAGCCCAGAAGAATCCAACGGAAAGGAAACAGCAATTTTTCCTCGCCTCTCACCCTAGCAAAGCAGCCATGGGAAACAGGAAGGACAAAACTCAATACCCATCCAGATGGAGCTGATACCCGTCTCACAAACCTTCTGTTCCTTCCACTTCTGAAAACAGTCATGAACTTCCCCGTGGAAAAAGAATGAGCCCACGAAGGGCTACGTTTTTGGTCAGAGAGGTGCTGAGGGTGGTGGGCCATTTTAAAGCAAACCCAAACAAGCAATGCCTCCCCTTTAGCTTCAGTTTCTTGTCTGAGAAAGGAAAAAAGAAAAGGAAAAGAAAAAAAGAATCCCTGTCTTCAAATGAAATGGAAGAGAGCTCCTGGCTACTTACAATTGCCTTCTGCCTCTGCTTCTCCCTTTGCTTGGCCCTCTCAGACTCCCGCTTCTCATATTCCTTACGGTATTCCTCCCTCTTCAGCCTCTCGTGCTGATATTCCTCGTAGCTGTCATACCTGCGGGCGGGCAGGGAACACACCTTCATTATGAAGTCAGCCACTTCGACTGGCACGAACCAAATGAATGATGTTTGCGGGGCTGGGGGGTGAGAGGGGTGGGCTTTTTGCTAATTCCTGGACCTCCCAGAAAAAAATAGGGAATGCTAGAAGGGGGAGGAGGAGGCACACACTTCCTTACCTGGGCCGCCGACTGAAGGGTGACCTAGAGCATGACCCCCCACACAAGGGGGAAGTCCTGTGTGCTCGGTGTCTGCCTTGGCTTGACTCAAAGTGGGCGCAAGATCTGGGAAGAGATGAGAAAAACAAACAGAGGCATTTGCAACGGCCACATCACCCAGGTTCCTTGGCCATCCTGAGAATCCACGGGCACGCTTGCCCTCTGAGGAGAAAACTGCTTTTCCTTTCTAGAGGCCAAGGCGATATCCCCTGTGACAGTTTGGGATCAGCTCGTCAGCTTAGAGGTGTGGGGATGGCGTGTTCTCCCTCAGTGACTCTTAGTGATGCTAACGCGGAACACCAGGGCCGGTACACTGTTGGCTTTATCTCGCGTGGATCTCAAAGATCCTGGCACAGGGCAGCTCTCCTGGTGATGGAAAAAGTTAGATGAGCAAGTTTCCTACAAATTGCCCTCTCTGATCTGACTGGCTCAAGGCATCACCAACCGCAAGGCTGACAGATTTCACAGAAGATGGGGAGGGAGGGCCGTAGGGCTAACAGCCGTCTTTGGCGTTTCAGGGGCACCGGGCCATGCTGGGTTGGCCATGGGGGTTGGACATGTTTCCGCTTCCTCGTGTTTTGAACGTCCAGGGAGAGCCTTATGCTGTAAGTGGGTTTCGACAAGGTTTACCTGGAAGAAGAACGACTGCCTGGGGACCTTGATCTTGACCTGGAGGAGGGTGACCGGGAACACGACCTGTGTCGAGAGAAGGACCTTGACCCAGAGCGTATCCTGTGGGGTCTTTGAGAAAATAAGGATTTGGGTGGCGACACGGAATCTCGACATGGAGAGTTAAAAGCAGAGCCGGAAGGCGACACGTCAAACACGGAATAGGACTGCGCGCCATCCCACGGGTGGCTCAGTTGATCACTTTCGTCTTCGCAGTCATCAAACAGGCCCTCCATGGCTAGTCCTGAATTTATAAACATCGGTAGTCTGGAAAATTGTCCGTGACTGAAATCACTGTCCCTCAGTCCACTGATCTTGTCTGCTTCGTCGTCAAAAACGGCTTGACTGGGATGGCCGAAGTGCTTGTTCAGCTCGGCGCGGATCTGCTGGTCCTGGAGCGGTTGCCTGGTGCTGCAAGCAGAGACCGGCTTGCCCGCCTGCCACGTCTCTCTCAGGCAGCACTGGTCTGAGTCTGTGGAAGGACGGATGTGCCCCTGCCAATCAGGGGAGGCATCTTTATCTTCGAGTGGTCTGGAGTCCGGGAGCTCCTGTGATACATGGATGAGTATTTTCGATTTGGAATTAAGCGACTGGCAATAGTCATGGTCACCAAACAGCCGCAGACTGGGCCGCTTGGCTTTCCTTTCCTCGTGTCCACTGGGGAGAGCCGAGGTCTTGCTGAGCTGGGCGTACAGCTCAGATTGCTCGGGACCTTTCCTGGTGGAGTTGGTTCCTTGGGTACCCGCAGACTCGCTGCACCGAGGCTTCTTCGATGGCGGCGGTACCGGTACCACAGTCTTGCAGGGCTTCAGCTTCGGAGAAGCCCTAAAAGGATTATCTTGGTTGGCTTTATGAGGAGGAGTTGTGGGTGGAGTTAGACCTAAGGAAGAAAAAGAAAACACAGAGATGGGGGCGTGATGAGTGTGTTCCTGAGAAGCCAACTGCTGTGCTTTGACGCCCCGGCTCCCCATGCTTTCCGACAAGGGTGACAGGCATCAGGAAACTCACTAGACAAATGTGATTCCCTTCCCTTACGCCTCGGTCGCCAAGGATAGATGGATCTAGAAGGCTAGAGAGCGTCGTGGCATTTCACATTGCCGACAAATGATGCCAACAGAACCCGCTTCTCAGAACACACTGGCCCGTCACCACTTGCCATAGCCAAGCTCACCACTTCAAGGGCCTGGCATTTGTTTGAAAAGAATACTGTGGGCGATGCCAGTGGCTCAGGAGTCTCTGAAACGTGATCTTGGAGCTAAGGAGGCCGGTCATTAGAGAAAGAAACAAACCGAGTGGGATGCAGCAAATGTGGGGTACTGTGGGGCTGAACTCTGTGACTTCAAGGCCAAGTTGGGTAGCATACGATGGACAAACGGAACTACAGCAATGTTCCGATGCGAGGGCAGCGATTCCGTGTCTCCACAGTTCATTAACTTAGTAAACCATGGCTAATGTAGGTATAATACATTCTTGTAAGCATAACTGATACATTCTGTCTAAAAATATGGTTCTGCAACAGAAACCGAAGTAAGAGGGAACCCAAAGTAACCCCGTGCCAATAGACCATTTGATTCGGGGTACAGCAGTGGGCGGGTTAGGAGGCCCAGGGATTGAAACACATCCAAGCTTCCACATGCATCTAATTAAATAAAGGAAATGAAAGTTGCAAGGGAGAAAAATGCCATCCAGCTACTGCGTTTCGGGCTTGCTGACAGGAGGGTAGAGAATTCCACCAGAGGCCCTTTTGGGGGGGGACCCTTGGAAGCTCAGTCCCCTCCATCAACACTGCACTCAAAGTCCGCCTCATCTTTGGATTGTGCAATGGTTCCCGAGGACAAAGACCTTTGAAGAAGGGCAGGCTGGAGTTCAAATCACTTTCTGCTTACAAGGGAGCCTTTTAGTTTACAATCCACTTTCTAGTTAGGGGGGCAGGTAAACACTATGCAGCAAAACGAATGTCAAGTCGGCCAACAAACCTGGGGTGGGACGCAAGGCAATGACGCCTTTTGAGACAAAGTAGGAAAGTCCTACCTTGCTGGGGAAAGCAGGGACTGGAGTGGAGGGTGGGAGGGGTGAGGGGGTGGAGTATAAAGAACCAAGAAGGTGAGAGGATAAACAACACGGAATTTTGGAAGTTTGGTGTGAACAGTAGGACGTTGTCTCTGTCTCTTATCTGGCAAAAAAGGAGATGGATGGAAGGATATGAACCACGCTATCCCAATATTTGGAAGTTTTTTATTATTCAGAACAAATTCTCCCTATTGGAGGAAAGGAAAGCTTAGAGCCCCTGTGGGCATTGCAATTAAGCACGTAGCTGTCAACTACCACGTAGACAGTCTTTAGCCCCCAGTGGCTCCCTGGAGAAGAATAGCCCAATGCAGCAGATTGCGCCTGTAAAGGGAACCTTACTGGGGCAGCTCTATTCGGATCTGCAGGGTCACTCTCAATTGTGATGGGCCCAGTGGTTGTGGGCTTGGGATGGAAGAAAGGGTATAATGACACAGAGTGGTTTGACTCTGGAATTGTCCTCTCTGTGATAAGCTCAGCAAGACAGGGATATGCAGGCAGGAAGAGCGACATGCGGTTTCCTAGTCACACCTGAACTTCGAAGCACTGTCCCTCTTACTAGCAGCCACTGTCCTTTGTCAACCTTGCTCTCGGTGTCTACCTAGGACTTCAATGGGTAGGTGATTGACACCTGTAGGACTGAAGGAACACCTGAATGACTGCAAGACAATATTCCTTTGTTCCTTCTCTCCCAGAGGAGTATAGTTTTCGTCAATCAACCAACTTACATCAATGTCAATTCTGTTTTCCCACTCCTTCATTTCTGTAACTTTGCCTGCTTTCCCATTAAAACAAAACAAAACAAAAACAAAAACAACCCCACAAACAACCAACCAAAAAACTCATGGTCATCAAGTCAATTCCAACTCATAGTGACCCTATAGGTCAGGGTAGAATAGAACTTCCCTTGTGGGTTTCTCAACATATAGCTTTATACAGGAGTAGAGAGCCTCATCTTTCACCTGCAGAGCTGCTGGTGATTTCAAACTGCTGACCTTGAGGTTTGCAGCCCAACATGTAACCACCATGCCACCAGGGATCCTTCATTCCCCACATTACCTTTAAGCACCATGACAAGAAATGGAAAGACACTGATTCCCAGCAAAGAAATGGCAAAACTTCAAATATTTCTCATAGGAGGCTAAGATGCTTACAGAACCTATAAGGTTAATCGCTTGGCTGATTAAACAAGGGTCATGACAGACCTTAAATTGGGTGGGCTGAGAGATATTTACCATCCATACATTCAAACTCCTGAATTTTCTCCCAACCTCCTGCATCTAGGGGAACTTTTAAACAATTTTCAATAATGTATGGTCAGGATCACTCAGTGGATAAAAGGTGTCACCGGTGGTGGTCAGGGGCATCCCGTTCAGTTCTGACTCATCGTGACCTTCTGTACAGCAGGATTAGACACTGCCTGCTCCTGTATCAGCCTCACACTTGTTCCTATCTTTAAGCCTCCTGTCGCAACCACTGTGTTAAGTCATCTCTTTGATGGTCTTCTCTTAAGAGTTACAGACTCAAAATCCCACAGGGTCACTGTGAATCACAATAAACTCAATGACAGTGTGTTGTTCACTTTTCGTTGGTCCTGCGCCATCCTCACAATTGTTTTTACATTTGAGCCCCCGTGGCAGACAGGGTGTCAATCCACCCCATTGAGGCTCTTCCACTTTTTTGCTGGCGCTCTACCTTACCAAGCACGATGTCCTTCTCCAGGGACTGGACTCTCCTGACAAGAGATGTCACTACAAAATTATATTTCTCCCCTTTGTAAAAAAAATCATTTTATTGGGGGGTTAGTCTTATAGCTCTTATCACAATCCATACATATATCCATTTTTTCAAACACATCTATACATACGTTGTCATCATCTTTTTCAAAACATTGTCTTTCTACTTGAGCCCCTGGCATCAGCTCCTCATGTTTGACTGACCGTTATAATGGGTCTCTCCAAATAGATTATAGAGGATGTCCTTTGGGCTTATTTGTTGAGAATTTTTTTTTTGTTTTTTTCTGGTTTTTGCTTTTAATTTTCTAGATCCTCCTGTCGTCGTGGTCTGTCTCACATTTCAGCTGCCTGGGGAGCTAGGGAAACATTTTTAACAGGATGGTTCACAGGCCACAAGTGGGGAGTCCACTAGCCCATGGTGTCTGTGTGGCATGTGGCCTTGCACTGAGGTATATGAATTGTTGACGGGCAGTCCACATCTGTAAAGAGAAACCCTACACTTCAGAAACACCGAATTAGACCACTATTAAAAAGAGAGGCATTCTAAAAATAGTCCAGCTCTCTAGGGATTTTAAATATAGAAATTCTTATTCATCTTGAAAATTTGAAACTCTGATCCAAGAGAGTACCTAAGCTCATTATCACTTAAATAATGGGTTCTCAAGGTGCTCCTGGGGCTGGGGACACCCTAATTGTATTTGTTCGAGGGGGCTGGGCAGTTGAAACAAAGCATTTCCCCTTCAATCATGAAGCAGGCAACTTGGAGTCTGCTTATGAAGCACCTCCCTTGTGCTGGATCCTAAAGCCTGATGTTGGTATTTTAGGCACCAAAGCCCCAGAACCTTTTTGAAAATGAAAATGAAAAAGGAGGCAATTCTTTAACCTGGGAAGCGGAGGTTCTTTCATTCTATGTTGGAAGTCCATCCAAACTCTCTGAGATAGCCCAGGATGCCTACTGAGTAGAAGATCAGGGCAGCGTGGCCCGCTGCCCCCACGTGCTAAATCAAATGCATGCTTCCTGGACAAATGTCTTAGAATGGAAAAGGAGGAGAGTGGGGCAAGGTTTAGCAAACCCCCCAAAACTTTTCAGTGGGTTCCCACAGCTTGTTTCTTTCGAGGGAACACCTCTGAGCAAGACAGAAATGTCTGGAGGGACACGTGTCTTTGTGTCACCGTGTACAGAAGGAAAATCCCACTTCAAGCACGCTTGCGATGACGCACAGTGAAGCCAAACAAAGCAAGCCAACACCAAAAAAAGTGTACCATGCATTTTTTTGACCTAGTGCCAAACTGCTAAGAGCTGTGAGTGGGGCAGAGAACCCCTTGCTACACCTGAACTTGCTAAGTGGGTTCATCTAAGCCCAGCTCCTCTGCCCAGACTGTTCTCCCCCGAGGCAGGCAAAGGGTCAATTCCCCAATTCTTAATGCCGCTCTCTCTGCCCATCTTCCCACTAATCGCCGGCCTCTCAATTTCATGCCACAAGCCTAAAATCAACAGCGCTAATGCCTCCCATAACCTCCGGATTATTTCCTGCGTGTTGATTTTCTGGGGAATGTGTACATTTTGGTGTTGACAGTACAAGGTATACTCTGTGCTCTCTCTTGAACTTAGCAGGTTTTGACAGATTTATGTGAGGACAGATGGCCATTCCAGGCTGAAGGCTGACAAGAGGCAGTTCGGAGCATTGTTAACACACTTGCACAAACTCTCAGCCGAGCAGCCCTGTGCAGAATGTAATTCAGACTATAGCTTTTTTATTGCTGCCTATTTTCTTTTGTCAAAAGAGCCTGCTGTGCAGAGCAACAAATGGCTGCTATTACCCAGAATGTAATGGGTGTCAGACAAATCACGTAACACAAACAATCAAGAGTATGTAGGTCATATTTCAACAGAGCACAACCTTAGCAATATTTATGATTACCGCATTGAAATGTGCTCTATAATAAACAAGTACCTCTCCATCACTCACACGTATGCACTTCTGCACAGCAAATCCCCAAGAAGTGGGACACGCCACAGTCATATTTATAAACAGCCCTTTTACTTAAAAAATAAAAAGAAAGAAAGAGAAAGTCA